AACTATACCAAGCTAATGAGCGAACATAGTGTAAACGTGCTCTCTTGTGATGATAGTTGGAAAGCTAGAAAGTGCTAGCAGATGTGAAGGCTTTTGAAGCATACAAGATTGCTTTATTTTAAATCAAAAGAGGGACTGATTGAAAAAAAAAAAAAACATTAGTTAAATTTTAAAATTGTAAAAAATTGTAAATTGTAATTTGTTTACCCACGGATCACTAAGGAGTTCATAAGAACTCGCTGAAACGTGTCCGTGCGTTCCAGATCGAATTGGAATTTGAAAGCTCATCTCTGGCCAAACAAGAGAAATTGAAATCTAAAATGTGTGGACATAAGCTAAATTTTATACTTCTATTCCTCTTAAGAAGCGTAAAAAGGTGTAAACGAAAAGTTCTATAAACATGCTTCAAATTTATCGCATGACAATGAAAACAGTTATTTTCAAATTTGTTTGATAGGTTAGCTTGAGTTGAAGTGATGTTTCTCCGACTCGACTCTGACTCCGGCTTGTCAAAAAAAAATGACGTTTTGACAAACTTATGTCAACAAAGTATTAGTTTTTCTTCGTTTCCTCACTTATTGTAGCCATCCATTTTTTTTAATGAAATCGTAAAAAAACGTGAAGGCATATGTTTTTTCATTCCTCGTTTTTCTAAAACCAGAACTTTTTGGGAAAAAGACGTTTAGATACCACTATGGATTTTTATTTAGCCATTTTACCAGCTGCATGATCCAAAGTAACATTTTGTTAAAGCTGATTGTTGACCTACTTTTTAGTCTAGAGACCGCCAGAACAAGAAAGTCATAGATTTTAATTACTTGTTTGAGGTTTTGGAAATATGCAAATAGATTTTATGTGCCACACAGCTTATTTATTTAAGAAGTGGGGACAAAAAGCAACAATAGTTTGGGGTTCAATCGGTTGTTCAGTAATTGACCATTTTTCTTTAAGCCATATAAGCTGCAAGAACCTCAGTAAGGTAAGTTGAGTTATTTTTTTTCCTTTGGTATACAGTGAAACCTCGATATAACAAACCTCTACATAACGAGGTCCTCGGTAAAACAAACGATCTAAGTTGTTTTGCCCCTGTAATAGTAAAATATAATATACAGATTTAGTTTGGGCCAAAAGCGACGTTCCCATTGATAAATTTATAATCTAAATCAAACAATAAAATTGTAATCCACCAAATCAGTTAACTTAAGGGCACATTCATGGGACTTTTGAGGGAGAGGCTAAGTGATTTTTAGAGTGAAACATCTTTCATCGAGTTGATAGCCTTATATGTAGACCCAAAAAATGGCAATCATCTTCGATCACATTCAAGAGCCATAATGGTTCTTGATCATAGTAGATTAGGTCTTAAAAAAAATTCTTAGAAAACAAATCAGGCCGAATTTTTTGCGTTCGACAAGTTTACTTTACAAAATCTTGGCAACAAATCTGTGGGTGTGTAAACCAANTTTTTCTTTAAGCCATATAAGCTGCAAGAACCTCAGTAAGGTAAGTTGAGTTATTTTTTTTCCTTTGGTATACAGTGAAACCTCGATATAACAAACCTCTACATAACGAGGTCCTCGGTAAAACAAACGATCTAAGTTGTTTTGCCCCTGTAATAGTAAAATATAATATACAGATTTAGTTTGGGCCAAAAGCGACGTTCCCATTGATAAATTTATAATCTAAATCAAACAATAAAATTGTAATCCACCAAATCAGTTAACTTAAGGGCACATTCATGGGACTTTTGAGGGAGAGGCTAAGTGATTTTTAGAGTGAAACATCTTTCATCGAGTTGATAGCCTTATATGTAGACCCAAAAAATGGCAATCATCTTCGATCACATTCAAGAGCCATAATGGTTCTTGATCATAGTAGATTAGGTCTTAAAAAAAATTCTTAGAAAACAAATCAGGCCGAATTTTTTGCGTTCGACAAGTTTACTTTACAAAATCTTGGCAACAAATCTGTGGGTGTGTAAACCAACCTTTTATACTTTTTATATACATCACATATGAAGTGAAACAGTACTACGAGGCGCTGTATTTATCATACAGACCTCGGACAGAATGCAGTATTTTACAACTTTTCGAGACAAATTGCACTCAGTCAATATCTGGGACGATCAATCGTGGGCTTTTAGCGAAACCGTTCAAAAAATTCCCAAAATCACTTATACGGCCAGCTGGTTCTCACTTATGACAAGCGCCAAATTTACAGTGGGTGCTGTGACGTGTGTTTGAATGAACATTAATAGAGTTACGCTTCAACATAATAAAGAATAAAGTATGTTGATTTTAGTATGTGCTGCAGTTTGAGTACTCCTGCAAGTAATGTCCATGAGCGACTGAGAACAAACGGCACAGCGATTGAAATTGCAAGTTAGACTAATAACAAATCAATAAAAGAAAGAAAATTCGATGAAAAATTTACAGAGACACCAATTTGCATTCACGAAGACAAGTGTTAAAGTGTCTCTAAAAATCCTGAGTCTTAAGCTTAAGCTTAAGTTTATCTTTTAAGCTGGCTTCTCGGTGTTTGCTTTTTTCAAAGATGAACTCAAGGCAAGAAAATCGCTCAAATTTTCCTTTCTTTAGCCAAAGTTATAACTAAACTTTCTTCGGAATGTTTCTCCCTATTTGGAGTGAGAAAAAGTTCTGTAAGCTTATATCAAACCTGATACTAGGTCAGATCATTGTCTCAAATCTTACAAACGTGCCTAAACTTGCCACATAAACTATGCTCTACTTCATGAAATTAGATTTAAAAAGAAAACATCAAATACAATAATTACTAGGGCTTACCATTCGAGATGCAGCTCCTTAAAGCTATCAAGTAAGGCCAGAAGCGCTTGAGACTTTGGAACCCTTTTACCCATCAAGCAAGGTGAAAAACGAAAACGACGCAATCAGAAATCGGATTTCCGACTTTGACAAGCAACGCATTTCTTATCCAAAGACCAAACCAGGGTCAAACCAGCCACGAATAACAGAAGACTCTTAATAGGAGCTGTATTTCATTTTGTACATCCAGTGGATAAAGGAAGTTAAAAACATAAACAAATTGACACAAAACTCAGTCAGCCTCAGCTGTCAAAGTAAACAACTTTCAAGATGCTGCATAAATTAAAGGCGTGAACTCTCCTGTCAAATTTTGTCCAATAAGAGCATAAAAATTTGGCGTAAAGCGTGACCAACGCGTAACCATGATAAAAAAAGGTCTTCCCCGCCTGTATTTTTAAATAACTGGCTGAATTTTTGCGTCCGAGGTCAGTTTTAAATCAATATCTTAATAGTGAGGGGCCATAGTCGCATAAACACAACATATTTCATATGAATTTTTTAAAACATAAACTTGAGCCAGCGATCATTTGAAAACAAGTAACTTGTCAACGGATAACTTCAAAAAATACTCGTCCTCGATGGGTCGACACCTCAGTCCACGATACGGTCGAATGATACTGGTCAGTGGATACCATGTTTTGACCACTGTCATGTGATCACAAGATTGATGTGCAGCAGGAGCCCATAATGGGCTCCCAAACTAGCTAGAAAGTGTGAGAGTAGATATTGGTTTCCCTGACGTGCGGACAGACGGTCGCTCGCCCGGTATACGGTCTCGTGATTCCCCAATTTTCTGGGATGGGTAAATCTGCTTAGCTGTGGGACTCCGCCCACGCGCGTGCGTGAAGCTCTGCTATGAAAAAGAACTTCGATATAACGAAATCTCGTTATAGCGAACAAATTTTGCCAGTGCCTTGGCCCTTCGTTATATCGAGGTTTCGTTTGAACTATTTTGCGTTGCATATTTACTGATTTTGTTACGCGGGGCTAGATTACTCAGAGAGTGAGAGGTGTCGTTGCGTTGTAACAAAGTTGATATCTTTCAGAGTCCAGGTAGAAAAAGACTACTAATGACAATAGTTAGAGTTAACCAGCAAATAATCGTTAAATTTCAAGCATAGTGTGACAGTGGCTTCTATCTTATCATTATTATAATGATTATTATATCAATTATTAGTGGCGCCAGCTCCGAATCATATTTACTACAATATTATACACCAAGTTTTGTTATCAGGTAGAGGGCCCGTACTCGAGACGACAGGATAGCTGCTTAACAGTTCCAAGTACCACAGGCTATATATTGCAGCGTCTGTGCTGTTGCTCCCATGACAAATATTCCACTGTTTTTGTCTTATATTACAAACTATGGTGAGAGTTGTTACAAATTCAGTCAGCACGGTTAAATTGCGACAACTAATTACGAAGGGGGGATATAATAAAGTTTTTCCTGAAGATTATTAAAAATTTCGACAGAACACATGTTAAAACACAATGCCGCATTGCAAGCGAGGCCCTTAGAGCGAATGATTGTTCAGGCAACTTGTGGAATATGATATCATTTTATATGCACTTTGCTGCTTATTTCCCTTTTTACGAACAAAAGGGCTAGGCTTGCTTTGCCTAATTTGCACTGACTCTTAAATCGCATAGCCGACTTGCGAAAAATGATTTAGAGTAGTGGACGAAGAGTAACTGAAGGTATAGTTTCTGCCACCGCTTGCTCCAGCATAGAAATTAAATCCGCGCCGAACTGAGACTTGTTATAAATGAATATAGCATTTCCTTTACTGTTTTGCAGGTGTTAATATAGCAAGTGAAATTGTTTTTAAACAAAAAACATTAAAACTTATTGGTAAGCCCCTGATTTGGTCATGTGATACATATTACTTTGTGGATGCCCCATTTTGACAGCTTTCAGTACAAGAGTTCCATTAACAAGATTTTGGTTTCGCTGTCTTAAATAACAGATGATCTTTAGCATGAAGCTTTCTTGGCAAGTGCTCCTCGGTTCTCTCCTCACGGTTGCGCAAGCTAAATCACAGTCTTCGAAAGTATCTCTGTACGTCGGATCAATGGCTCCTCTAACTGGGCGACGTTCTTGGTGGGGTGCTGGTATCACCACAGCGATGCAAATGGCGTTTGAGTTGATAAACAACNATGAAGCTTTCTTGGCAAGTGCTCCTCGGTTCTCTCCTCACGGTTGCGCAAGCTAAATCACAGTCTTCGAAAGTATCTCTGTACGTCGGATCAATGGCTCCTCTAACTGGGCGACGTTCTTGGTGGGGTGCGGGTATCACCACAGCGATGCAAATGGCGTTTGAGTTGATAAACAACCGGTCTGATATTTTACCATATTTCGAGCTGAAACTACTAGAAAACGACACGCGGGTAAGAGTAATAGAGTACTGAATACGGCTACTAAGAGCATCAACTAAAAGGTGTTTCGATGCAGTTTTTGGAAACCATGCCGACAAAGTTCAATCGCTTTAAAAGTCATTTTATCCTTGTGCAATCGCTATAAAATTTTCACTATTGATTGACTATAAATTGAAGTTTGTCAAAATGCAGTTTTTAGTAATAAAAATCAATATCACTTTGACAAATCTACGAATTCAAATCTACGCGATCTAGGCCTGCTACTGAAAAACCGACACCAGGAACTTAAAGTGTGGTGTTTAGCTAATATCCTCTGTGAGAAGTAAAATATTCTGTATTTTTCAATTCAAATAAAACATAAATATATTTTAAAACTTATATTTTCAATAACAACCATAAAATATTTGATGAAAAAGTTCTAAATAACTCAAATTACTATTTAATAGCGTCCGAATTTTGCCATTGCTAGGAAATTTTGGTGCATTTTCTTTCTTGCGATCCTGAAAACTAACCTGTTTTCTCACCACCTGTCTAAGCGCGTATTTTAATTATCAGTCCTTAAATTTAAGTTCGTCTTGAAACTTCAAGGTGTTGCAATGAATCAATCTTGATGTTTCTGTCATTACTATATACATCGTGAAGATTATGTGAAGCGGTTTTAAAAAAATTCTGTCGAGCCGTTCTAGAGATACACAGAAAAGTGCCAAAAGTTAAAATTTAGAATACATATGCACTTAGACAGGTGGTGGGAAAATAGGTTAGTTTTCAGGATCGCAAGAAAGAAAATACACTAAATTTCCTAGCATTGAGATATGATATCAAGGAGTAATCTGACGCTACGTAATAGTAACTTGAGTAGTTATTTTAAACTTTTTTATTAAACATAATTGTCACGGCTTTTTGAAAACATAAGGTTGGAAATGTATTCATGTTTTATTTGGATTCAAACCATTTTTTTACTTTTCACGGAGGTTGTTGCTAAACAAGACTTAAATACCACACTTAAAGTTCCTGGTGTCGGCTTTTCAGTAGCAGGTTTAGATCACGCAAAATGTCGGCTTTTATCGATTTCAAAACTTTTTTTTCTGTTTTCATAATGGTATCGTTTTTTTCCCAAAAATCCTTCTTTGTTTTAGTTCAATTCGTAGTCATAGAAAGTGGTCAGTGATAAAGATAATAATGACAATAAATGAGGGCATTTTGGGCTGAACTAACGGTATCGGAAACACCGGATTCATTACCTATCTTGATTTAAAAATCTGTGTATGTGTTTTAATTTAAAAGTTCATCTGATATTTTGCACCAATGTCGATCTCACCATTTCTTTAAATACCAGAGGTTGCGCCAAATTGTATTTTCAATATCATGAGATCCTCGGTAACTGCATGTTTCCGCCGAAAGAACTAACATGAGGATACAAAAATACTTTCCAAATATGTCAGTTTACGGATTAGAAAATAGATGCTTTGAAATTCGAAAAGTGGGCTATTTTTTGGTAAGAAAGAATGGTTTGTTTGAATGAAGATTTTCATGAATTTATTCAGTTAATTTATCTTCAGTTTCAGGTTGTTTTGGGTATTAAGTTCTTCATTGGATAACCAATATCCGTGCACAAGTAATACTTGAACGATGAAACTTCTTCAAGGCATACATTTATCAGTATATAGATAAAAATTTACAAGTCAGTCCACCTAAAATCAGCCGGAGGAGTCTCAAAATAATTATGCATAACACATGGCCAGAAATTTGGAACCCAACAGTGAGACTGTTCCGTGAAGTCCTACGAAACAGAACGCGGCCAACCATTTAGCGAGTGGATAATGATGTAATAAGTCAACTTGCGGTCCGCCCCTAGTCGTTCCAAATTTCTGGCCATGCATGCGGTAACTATTGTGTTATCGGTTAAACAATAACGTAAATCGGACGTAACTTGTATTCAGTTCTTTCTTCTTCGTCTCTAAAAGGGAGAGACTGGTCTCGGGAACAAAATCCTTTATGATTATATCTCCAAACAAAGACCATCACTGATTTTAGGACCTGGAAGGTCAAATGTTGCACTCTCTGTAGCAGACACTGCAAAATACTGGAAAATTATTCAGGTTAGTTATCATTTTCTTAGTATAGTGATGCTTTTCAAACCAAGGGGCTAACAATGTGACATATCACGTCTTATTTTAACCCAAAAGGTAGATTTGAGANCAAAGACCATCACTGATTTTAGGACCTGGAAGGTCAAATGTTGCACTCTCTGTAGCAGACACTGCAAAATACTGGAAAATTATTCAGGTTAGTTATCATTTTCTTAGTATAGTGATGCTTTTCAAACCAAGGGGCTAACAATGTGACATATCACGTCTTATTTTAACCCAAAAGGTAGATTTGAGAAGCTGAACTCGTGTCCAAAACAATAACGACTTTTCCTAGCTGGAAACATTTAATTTTTCATCAAATGCTACTACCAATAACAAACTTAGAACTTGAAATGGAAATAAAATACTCGCTCGTCAATAGGTGTGGAGTTTTCAAAATCTTATTAATTTCTTGAGGCGACGAAATCCAAGATGGCATAGTCAATACGACGGACATTTAAGAAACGGTCCAGATAAGAACGATAGCAACAACGGCAACGACATGTTGGAATGCAAAAAAGGTGCTATTTTTTCTGTTGCCTGTACTTACTTCTGATTGGCTTAAACAGCAAAAATTATCAAAACTTCATAAAGCTATACATATATTTATCCTTACTTCCCAACCATCTTACACATAACAAAATCTGGTCTCAGTTTGATTAACAACGAATTCCTATGTGAGGAAAATGTAAAATTGTAAACTTTTCTTGGCTATTGCTTTCAACTCTTGTGATTGGTCAAAATCTTTTAACATAAAAAAATGTTCTTTCAAAGTGGAGTGTAAATGCATTCTATTGCGTAAACGGCCTTCATGTAGGTTTATGCATTCTCTGTGTAAAAATGAGAACATTTCTATGTCCTTACCCGGATCATTAATTAAATAATGATGGAATCCGTAGATAATATGACGCCATTACGTCACGTCACGTCACGGCCGGCTTAACGTTTGGTATTCTAAATTCCAACTCTAGTATGACAATATAGTGGTCTTTCTTTAAAAGCCGTCTCTGACCATTGACTGAGAGTGATAATGCAACTCAGCTCTCTCTCTTTTTTTTGCCTAGATATCTGCTTCTGCAGAGAGTGGTGACCTTTCTAATTCAAATAAATATCCTTATTTCTTTCGTACAATTGGTTCAATTTCTGCATCGAAATCAGCGTTTGTGGCTCTTGCAAAGATATTCCATTGGAAGAGAGTGTCAATATTATTTTTCAGCAGGGATATGTATGTGAAGGTATGAAATACAGTTTTTATCACATCACCTTTATGCGATTGCAAGCAGTTTCAAATTCAGGTTTTATTCTTTCTGTGTTGATATTAACATCATTCTTTACATTTATTTTTTTACCGTTGATGTTCCTTCTAATTCCTTTCAACTATCAAATCATGGATCTCATCTAAGCCTTTTTTTTTCCCGTCTATAGATATTTGCAGTCGTGACTAATACATTTTAAACTGTTAGAATGTTCATACATTTCATTTCTTTCAAAATCTAAGGCTGCATCTGATTTAAAAGACCAATGTGAGCAAAACAATATCTCTGTGATGTCTTATGGGAGCTATGCAGATACAAACGATGCAGAGAACCAGCTTGAGCACATCAAGGTGATCACGAACGATGATTTCAGCTGCGTTATCCAATAGTTTCAGTTTTGGAATTAAGGAGAGCAAGACACATACGTTTCCTTAAGTATCAATCTTTCCACCCTCAAATGGCTGTTTAACTAGTCGTCATAAGGATAGCTTTGGTAGAGCAAGATAAACAAATTTGCTAAGGCGAATGCACTACAAGAAATGTGACATTATGAAGGATGGTTTAACGGAAAAATAAGACGACAGTAACAGTCCCAACATGGGTGAAGAAAGGGGAAGCCGAAAGTCTTGAGCGCTTCGAAAGTAGAGAATAGGAATCTTAAAAGGGAGGATAAATCACATACAGCAATGGATTTTAAGCAGCGACGTTTTTAAGGGATGCACAAAAAACGGAAGCGAGCCATTTTCTCCTTTACATGCCTTGACGCTGCCAAGTTTGTACTGCGGAGTGTCTTTACTCTTAAAAAGACGATTTGCCAAAAACTTGTTCAAAATCACGGCTCTAGAGTGCAAAAAGTCCACTCCCGGTTGATGTGCGTCGCTCATAAACATCGCTGGTTAGACTCCCTATTGAACCGCTTTCAACTATCACGGATTATGAAATACAAACACGGATTGGCAAACACTAGTTCATTTTAACATGTGTGAATGTAAGTGCGGCAAAGCGCAAAGGTTTTTATCAAGACTGAGGATGAGCTCTCTCTTGATTTCACTTAAACTAAGTGTCCGGTGTTGCATATAAATGTATTTGTTTTGCTTTGAAAGTTTCCGATTTCAGCAACGTGAAAGAAGCCTATTAGAGGGACATGATTTTAACTAATATTTGTTTCCTAACTTGTTTATAACGTATGTTTTCCTTTTTACAGGATATTGATGCGAGGATTATATTCGCCTTTTTACAGAAGACAACGAGTGTGATGTGTTTGGTAATAAGCAAAGGGCACAAAAGCGCATAACTCTAAAACTCACGATAATAGAGAGGTTTAGCACCACGTACTTTCACACACCAAATGGCAAATCGCAAACGCTACTTACTACGTACTATTTGCTTCCCAAATGAAATGGAAACTGGGCGTAATGCCATCCATCCAGCGAAAGCGGATATTAACCACAGTCTATAATCTAAGTCAATTCCATCAATGTTTCGTGAGCGACATGAAATAGAACAAAGTGAAGTTGAAGCATACAATCCTTAATGTATTTCACAACCAACAAAAAGAAAAACAAATCATTTATATATAGATTTTCCCCCACGCCCCACGTTTTTAATGGACGTGAAAATCTTAAACGGCAGGCGGGAGTGAAAAACATTGAGAGGTCACAACAGTCTCAGTTATCAGTTCCAACATGTAACAGTGCTGTTTTTCCGTGGTCTCTCTTTTAAAAGGTTTACAAGCACAAGTTGTATGGTAATAAGTACGGCTGGGTAGTCCACACTCCCGACGCGCCTGGATGGTGGACAAGAACATACTCTTTTCTTGACTGCACAGCTAGCCAGGTTAACGACGCAGCCGCATATACAATTCATATTGACCATCTTTATTTAAGCAAGTCCAAAGATCCAACTATATCTGGATTGGTGAGTACGATACATACAGGCGGGCTGCATTGTTTTGTTAATAGACGGTATGCACGGTACCTGCCAATTTTGCTCCCGCTTTTCAGGGGGCCAACAAGTGATAAAATGTGCCAATACCAGTAATTATTACGTAATTTATTGCTTGCCGTCACGGCATCTTATGTCGCTACCGTAACCAACATGGTCCTTAGTTTCTGTTGTTTTGAGAATATAATAATGATATTGATATTGATAATGATCATGATCATGATACTGTTAAATACTGGAAGGAAAAAGCCATACATGGAGAGTTTGCTCGGCAGACGTCAGATGCAGCTAGAGAGGTGTCCTGGAGATGCTCAAGAATGTCTTTGTTGTTGTTGTTGTTTGTTTTGTTTTTTAAGAAGGGAACATAGGGCTCGATCGTCGCTGCTCGCTGCTCTAGAACAAGCTTTGAGAAAAAATTCGGTCAAGCACAGCATAGATATAATATAAGACATTTGAGACACCAGTGTACAGATTGTGTGTTGACTCCACTACCACTACCACCACTACCACTACCACTACCACTACCGCTACCGCTACCACTCCACTACCACTACTACTACTACTACCACCACCACCACCACCACCACCACTACTACTACTACTACTACTACTACTACTACTACTACTACTACTACTACTACTACTACTACTACTACTACTACTACTACTACTACTACTACTACTACTACTACTACTACTACTACTACTACTACCAATTATTATACACTAGAATACGATTTATTGTATCAGCAGATTTTGCCACTTGTTTTCCCTGAGAAGTCACGTGACTTCGCTTTCATCCCTTCAGTCTTTAAGCGAATGCATCGTGAATAAGGTCTATTAACTCGCGAAGGAACCCTGCAGGCTTAACGAGAATGTTTCAAAGCTCAAGATAATATAGGTAGTTTTAACTATTTCATGTTTGGGATTTGAAATGCCTTACCCCTTTACACTGTATATAACCAGGTATGTCCCGGATGCTAAAAATGACGATTTTAAAGCTGGATTGTTGCTGCGATCAACACCTTAAAGTGAACTTTACGCTTTTCTAATGAGGTTATCATTTTTGTCGCAGCTATAGGTAAACTAGGCAGTTCACCGTTCTGTCTGGTTGAAATTAAATTTCTTTAATTGTAAACAGTCGATCCAAAAAGTCAGTAATAGAGCGTGATGTTTATTGTATACCTCAAATCATTATCATTATATCTTTTTTTATTCAACAGACTCCACGACAGTTTTCAGATAACTATGAAGCATTTTCAAAACGTAAGAACACTCCAGTTTCCCACTATGGACCTTTTGGCTTTGATGCTGCGTGGCTGGTGGCACTTGCAATGAATAGGTCGAACGGTGAATCGTCAAATGTTCAACTACTGGACATAAAAACAGATTATTCGTCACCAGACATGATCAAGAATAGCCTGCTGAAAACGAACTTTAAAGGCGTAACGGTTAGCATTTTTTAACTGAAATAAGGTTTTTCTAAATAGCTATCTCACCTTTCGCAGATGAGTTTAATGAACGTTCCTAAATAGAGCAAGTGGTCCGGTTGCCTTAGAGATCTATTGACAACTCAAATGCGCAAGAATACTTAATTAGTAAAGAAAGTCGAAGAGTTTGTTGAGAAATTTACATGACCTGGGACCTAGTATACTACTTACGAATTACTAGCTTGTGATACTCTAAAAGTATGATGTGTAAATTTCTGACTTCTTTCTTTTGAATTTGAGGTGTAATGTTTTTACAGGGCGAAGTTCAACTTCAAAACAATGGAGACCGAACTGGAATGTTTGAAGTCTTTCAAATACGAGGTAAGCTTCGGCCTGACATTGTTTTCCTTCCTTTTCCTACAAATACAACAAATTGAAACAATGTTGATGCTCAAGTATACTGCATACGTCAACCAGGTATAAAGAGGCTAAGGAAATGATAATTAATTTCGAATAGATTCTTATATGTTGCCGTGCGTTAGTTCAGTAGTAGGTTGTTGATGACGTCAAAACGTAGACTACGAGTAGTCCCCCATTTTTCCTCAGGGATAGTAGGGCGAGCGAAACGCAAGCGCGCGTGAAAATCACCCCACGCGAGAAAAGGCGACACGCGGCGCATTTTTCTCTCTCCCCGCCGCGTGTCGCCTTTTCTCGCGTGGGGTGATTTTCACGCGCGCTCGCGTTTCGCTCGCCCTACTATCCCTGAGGAAAAATGGGGGACTACTCGTAGTCTAGTCAAAACGTGGTAAGGATAGGAAAATGGCACACGAGCCACGAGCCGCAGGCAAATGGGTCAACGACTCATCACAACGCACGTAATATTCACTTCATTGTATAATGGATTATGCTTTTCACATTTGTGTGTAGGAAAGGATCTTGAAGTCATCGCCCTTTTTGATACTTTAAACGCAGACAATCTTACTTACTACGGTAACATGAAGTTCAAATGGAGAGGTAAATACCCAAAACAACGGAAAATTCGAAAGATCTTTCTGATATTTAAAACATTTTAAAACAATTTTTTTTCAGACTAAATCAATTCATGCATCCACCATCCCTTCGTAAGGAGTAAGGGAAAAGGAGGGATTGTCTCAGCTGAATAGTACAATAGCCATGAAGTTTAATTTCTATACTTCTGTCTGTTTTGTCCTCATGATCGCACTAAGAAAGCCATGTTCATTGAGATTACAAATTAACATAATAAAATGCAAAAAATCTAAAAAAACAACATCTTTTTATCAGATAAAAAAATAACAATAAACAAAGTGAAAACAAATTTTAATAGCATAAGAAAAAGCCTTCTTTAAGAATTTCCCAATTGCTTTTCTGGGTGACGGGGGGAATTATTTGATATATGTTTTTGAACTTTCGGCTTAAGTTTAATTCTTCTTACTTTTTTTCTCCGCTGTACACAGATGGCAGGTCACCAAGGGATCATATCATATACAAGGCTAAATTAATCCAGCTGTCACGGGGAAATTTTATCGTGATATGCGTCTTAGCCAGCTTGGGAATTATCCTTTGTTTCGGGTTTTTACATTTTAATATTGTGAACAGAACAAAAAGGTGAGGCAACAAAGGAAATAGCTAAAATTAACTAAAAACATTTTACTTCAATTACCTGTGAAGCTTAAAATGCAGAAGATCTACTAACTGGTGACCAAGTAAAGAACTTCCATATTTGAGCCACGAGAAGTTTTAACAAGAACATGTAGGACAGTACCAACGGCATCCTAATTGCTTGCTGTTTTTTGTTTGTTTGTTTTCCTTTTTCTATGCTTGTGGTGAATTTCAGTTGATGGTCATCGATTTTTAAGTTAGTGAAAATAGTATTTGCAGTCAGTCTGCGGATTCGATGTACTGCAAAAATAAGATTTTGATCTTTGGCGGGATTCCGAGTTGCTAAAGCTGAAGTCTGCATTCTAAAACCCGGTTTCCGGATTTCACACACACCTGTCTAAGACAGACTGATTCAATGCCTCTCCTGCAGGAGTCGGTCTTAGAAAGGAGTAGTAATCTGTATTTGATTTCCTTGTTAGACATTACATCACCGAGTCTGCACACTATCACTCTAACGAAGCGAGAGCACATGAAAGTTTTATACCAGCATCGTATTCTCAAGCCTTCCGTTGTTCTCGTTCCCATTTCATTTTACACTTTTATTTCAGGTGCATTAAAATGTCAAGTCCTAACATCAATAACGCAATCATTGTGGGTTGTTTTCTGGCATATTGTTCGGCCATTCTCTTTGCTGTTGATGGCGACAAACTTACCAATCTCATTTGCAAGGTATCTTGCTAACGACTATAACTTCTTATCGATTAAACGATATACATTGCAACACAACTAAGTCAACTAAACAGTCAGTGAAATCAATGTTTGTTTTTTTTAGGGAATAAGCATGGATCGATCGATGTACGGTTTCTTCTTATTACGAGTAGCAACGTTAAGGGACAGAATAAGCCTCATCTGAAGTTAACCAAAAAGATATGAAAAAACGCAGGCTGAGGTCATATCTTGAACCATCACCAGTATAACAAGATTGTGTATCTTTCGCTCTTTGCTAAACGCTTGATATGCCCTAGAGGTTGAAGTTTACAACATGAAATTAAAAATAAATGAAAATAAAAGTAAGCGGGCTAACGGACAAACAATCATCTGTTCATTAACATACTTCATCGATAGCAAAGAGACTGTTTTCTCACCGGTGGTCTTCAGCGCTATGGAAATTTCTTGGAACAAAATAAGGTTCTTACAGAGAGGAGAGTTCAAACCCTACAGGATTTTCTGGGTGCACCAACATGCTCACCATTTCATTGTTTGTTTCATGGCTGTCGTGACGTCATGCCGTAAAAGTAATAGAACATTTTTCACTCAATAAATCAGCAGCTAAGCAAACTTATTAACACAAAGTTTTCTTTTTACATAAGAGGAAGGACTGGTCTGGAACATCAACTTGGCGGGGTACTTATTTTCAGTTAACCTGCAAACTTTTGAAAAAAAACAAAAAACAAGAACAAATTTTATCTTTTCAGGCAAGAGTCATAACCTTGGATATAGGTTTTACAGTCGCATTTGGGTCCTTGTTCTCAAAGACATGGCGTGTTCACAGAATTACAAGGAAAATCAAAGTTCGAAGACGGGTAAATATTTGCCCCTGTTCATTTTAAAAGCTTTATATAGTTTAAGAAAGTTTCCTTTAGGACTGTTATTATAGGCACTTACTTTAGGAACTCCCATGTAAAAGTGACGGAGATGCTCTTCGTCTCGCTTTGGGGTGTAAATAGCAGATTTTGCTCTCATTTAAAGTGTTTGAGATGGCAAGTTACTATTTTTGCCCATTCAGGTATCGCATAGTACTGTGCATAAAGAAATTTACAAAAATGCCCAGACCACACAAAAATCTTCCTTAGGGGTCAGTTTAAGCTTGAGCCACACCCACATTGGTCTCCCTTAGGGGTTAAATTTCAATTTTCCGACGAGCATCCCCGTCACTTTTATATAGGAGCCCCCGCCTTTCCCTTCCCCTCCCCCTCCCAAGGTATTAATATTTTTGCGGGGCGGAGAATACAACCGGTGACACATATATAGTAAAAGGTTGAGTTTTTGATGCTGTCATTTCGCGTTACTTTGTCTGCTTTTTCGTCGTTGTTAATCTTCAATCCGTACCTTCTTAAACCTGCAAGGAGAACCAACGAGGTCTTTTGGTTAATTCAGATTAATTTCACCGCAATATATAATTTTTCATACAGGTGATAAAAGACATCCATTTGTTTGGTATGATCTTCGTCTTTCTGTTTGTCGATATCGTACTTATAAGCGTCTGGACAATAATGGATCCCTTACGGAAAGACGAGATGTTTCTTATAGACAAGGTACTTTTGTTTATATATGACAATGTTAATTTTTATCTGTATATAAAGTTGAACATAAATCGAACTGTGGGTGAATTGTGTTGCATATAATAAACTGGATGTCACTAAATTTTGGAAAAACAAACAAACAAGGCAACAGAGAAAAAATGCAAAGCCAAACAATGAAGTCACGCTGCACTAAGATCAAAACCTAGGTTAATGGTACATCTTGAAAAGCACGACTAGAGACCTCGCTTTGTTAGAAAACAGCGAACAATAACAATCAAATGACGTTGCTCTCCAAATAGGAGAGGCGCGTTGAAAAAAGAGATACAGTGGAAAAAACAAACAGACAGTACATGATTTTATGTAATAGTTATAAAATTAAACTACGAAATCAAGGAATATGTTCCAGTTGACGTAAATGTCGGTTGCTGAAGCTCAGAAAGCTAATTTTCTACGTGGGGAATAAAGGGCGACATATAGAGCAAGACTTCTAATCAAACTTACTAACGACATAAATTTACTATTTAAAAGCAATTCATTCACTTTGTAGGCAGAGGAACTCCATGCGGATGTAATTTACAGACCTGTTGTTTCTCATTGCACGACAAACAAACCGTTCGTTTGGCTTTTGGTGGTGTATGGTTTTAAGGGCATTCTTCTCATATTTGGCCTATTTCTTGCTTGGGAAACTCGCAAAGTCAAAATAGTCACTCTCAATGATTCTCACTACATTGGCAAGTACAAGTTATAGTGATAGGTATTCATTCATGGGTACGCCGTGAGAAAAAGATTTAAAAAAAAGAAACCCATGCCAAAAATTAAGTTTGAGTGGAAATTAGTGGGGAAATATAAGCATCTTTTTGCTCTGATAACTCCATTCGAAACTTTAATAGACTCGGATCGAAACTTAAACAATCCAGGACCAATTATTTCACAAGGATTTCTATGGAGTCATTGAAGCATAACAATGCATATATTTCCCTGCAAATTTCCACTAAAAGATTGATTTTTAGTTCGTAAACATTTTCCTTGTTCTTTCTGGATATGCCAGTCTATCCCCTTATTTCACAAATTTAGTTCTTGTGACGTCATTACTTCTCTCTATTATAGTTTGAATTCACAAAACTTAATTGTTAAAGGTATCCATCATGCGCATGTTACCTCGGCAATTCGTATGATAATCGACTACTTGAAGCCCACATTTGATTTCCACAGTGCTTAAAATACGTATTATTTTTTTAACAGGTATGGCTGTGTACAATGTCTTCATTGTCTGTGCGATAGGCGTTCCAGTTGCCCTATTTGGCCATAGAAGTCATCAGTATGAATTTTGCTTCTACGTCATAACCAGCTGCATTGTATTTTGCACAACTTTGACCTTGTGCCTTGTTTTCGTTCCAAAGGTGCGCTTTAAACTAGAGTGCCAGTTACATGTACTTGAGAGCCAGTTATTTGTACTCAAGAAAATGCAGCTAAAATTCATTTTTTTCAAAATTTCAAGCAAAGAAAACAAATACACAAGAAAATAAGTATAAGTTCAGCCTTACAGGAGTGCTATAAATGTTCATTTTGATGCCTTCCATGGATGCCTGTTAGTGATGCCCTTGTCATTCGTGTAAAATTTTCTCAATAGCGTAAACATTCTGAATTAATATTAGAGGCTGTTAATCTTTTATCGTTTTATTTTATTTAAAATTCTGTTGTTTTTATTTTTTTCGCAGATGAGAACGTTGAAGAAAAGAAACAGCGAAGAAGTATGTGGCAGATTCCCAACCAATGACATGATACGCGGGAATGAGGAGCTTGGTGTCCACCTAGAGGGCCTTCCCAACATTGAACTTCAAGAAGAGGTTAAACGGCTTAAAAGTCTGTTAGAAGAGGTAAAAACTGTGATTAGTTCGCCTATTGGCCAGAAAAGATGATTTAAATCAATTTAACCCACGGACGTACGCGCAAAGGCATACCCCCACCGTGGTACAAGGTGGGGAGAGAGGATTGATGGATCCCCCCTTGGGTTTTTGATAAGTTGCAATATTTCGAAACGATTTTGCCTTCAGTGGAAAGCCTTTGATCTTCTCTACAAGATGAGGTATATTGTATGGGGGTTGGCGCTGCTGGAGGTCTGTGACGTCACCAAACCTGGTCCCCATCTTGGCCGCCATCTTGGATTTTCTCAAGTATTTAAAAACAGGTAAAAACAGGGAGAATTAATAACTTTTTTGCGCTTAACACGTACGATAGCACATAAATAATAATTATTTTGCATCATTTCATCCACAGTTTTTACTTTTATTGCTAAAAAAAGTTGAAGAAACGTGCATTTTCACTCAAAATTGCTTGACCACCTACTACCTATGACGTCGTATCTCGTAACCAGAGTAACTGACCATCACTAAACTTTTCTCAAAATGTGCGCGAAGGATTAGCATGTGAAAACAACTGTTTCTCCTCGCTCTTCACCGCTGGGGACGTTTCGCGCGGAGGAACGTCCGCGACTCAGCGACAGAAATTCCATACTGATGCCGTAGAATCTGTCTGGAATCCGGTTAGCCTGCGTAGCAAGCGTTTCCTCGCGAGGTTCGTCTAGAAAGCTGGGACAAGAGCAAAAAAAGCTTCCGCTCTAACTTTCGCGCAATAACTCGATTGGAAACGCTTGCTACGCAGGCTAGAATCCGGTCAGAAGTGCTGAGTGGTCAACGGAGTAGTTACATTGTTTTAGTTATTATTTACGAATGTCAGACAAAACACAAAAGGCCACAAAGGTCTAATGTAAACGCGAAGAATCTCTTACAAAATAGTCAATATTTGAGTCTTGCTTGAGCTCGTTGACAGATGAACACAACACTTTACCAAAATCTACCAAAAGACACGCAAAATTGAACAAATCTTATTTGGAACCCCATGACTACCGGATTCATTATGTAAACACTGACTTGCGTCAACTGTATGGAATTTCTGCCGCTGAGTCGCAGACGTTCCTCCGCGCGAAACGTCCCCAGCAGCGAAGAGCGAGGAGAAACAGTTGTTTTCACATGCTAATCCTTCGCGCACATTTTGAGAAAAGTTTAGTGATGGTCAGTTACTCTGGTTACGAGATACGACGGCATTTCGCAGGCTAGTGAAGATAAAAGAGCAGGTACAGAAAACTTCAGGTGCCAGTGTTTTATCGTCTAGGAAAAAAATTAGAAACACCTTAGAAGGGTTAAGGGTACGTCCGAGGGTTAATATATCATTTTCCTTACGCGAGTATTATTTTGTGGTTGGAATAATAAGCATTCTACCATACATGTAGGTAGCCCAAGCTCGAAATATAAGCATCGGCGAACATCGGCATTGTTGCGTAACATTCGAAATATAAGGATTTGTATGGAAAAAAAAAACCTATCGGTTCTGTAACCTACGAAAATAAAAGGATTTCAATAAAAAACAGCTTACCTTACTTAAAATGTGTGGTACGTCTCTCCTGTGTGGTCCACGGGCCGATTTATGGCCGTTTTATGGGTTTTTATGTAAACGGTTTTCTCTCTATATAAAGGTTTACTAAGGTTGGGCACTCCAGCGAAGTGGCCCGACTGATCCACCGAAGGAAAACGGTCGTAAATTCGCTCCAACTGCTCCAATCGCCTCCAAATTCCGCCTAGGTAACACACAATAGTTCTCCTTTCCATTCCTTATCTTGCTTCAAGACGCCTTTCCACCGAGAGCGAATCAAAGGTCGCAAATCTCTGCAACCTTTCCCGACTGAAGCCATCCACTGAACCTTGGCTTGAGTTCCGCGTTACCGTTGAAAGATAGCGACACGGCCTGAGACTCAAATTACTCACACTCGGGGTGGGAGACAGTCTCTTGCTCCCGTCGTTGTCTTTATTGGGTATTGATGTCAACGGGAGCAAGAGACTGTCTCCCACCCCGAGTGTGAGTAACTTGACCTGGCCCGTGGACCACACAGGAGAGATATAACACACATTTTCAGTACGGTAAGCTGTTTTTATTGAAATCCTTTCATTTTCGTAGGTTACGGAAACGATAGGTATTCTTCATATACAAATCCTTATATTTCGAATGTTACACAACAATGCCGATGTTCGCCGAGGCTCATATTTCGAGCTTGGGCTACCTGTGATTCAATCTACCAGCTTGTGTTTAGCATGTGATTGGGAAAAATGCCATTTTAATTTGGTCATTACTTTAAACCTGAACGCTTATTTATTTATTATTTTTTTCAGCTTCAAAAGGGAAATTACCAAGCATTTAAAAGTCACCAGTTAAATCGAAACCAAGCAGTATGACATCTACGAAGAAGATACACTTACATATCATATAACAGAAGCAGTTAGGGCCAGTTATAGAAATTTAGAGCTAGACTGCAATTAACCCTGTTAAAAAAGTCTTTTTTGTTGCCTACGACCGCCCATGATACATCTACGTTGAGCAAAGTTACTTAGAATAGTGTATTCATCATTTGCAACATCTCGGCATTAACTTGATTGACAAAATAAGGTAATTTGACGTCATTATGTCGTCACTATTGTTTAATTTATTGGCAGAATACAAATTTGACTAAAATTCACCTCGAACGAAAAATTTATAGATAGTAAGGTGTCTGACAATATCGGAAAGTTTGCTAACATAATACCTGTAGTGCCTAAAATCATGTATTTAAGAAGGAAATGAAACCATTTTGCCATCCTGGATCCGCCATTTTGAACCAATTAAATGTATTCGTTTTATCTTAAGACCCATAGAAATCGAGGTAGTTATCATAATAGAAGATTTGATCTAAGTATAAAAGGATATTGATGCTTAGGAATCAAAAAATCTGCGTTTATGAAATTCTAAAGAAAATGAACTCAGCATGTGCCATTTGGTATTTTTAAATTCCCTTTTTTCTCATATTAGTCACTAAAAGGCCTCGGTTACATTAAAAGTTAAAATAAATTTAATAAACAGTGTTCACTTAAGTCAAACAAAATATAATAATAAAAAATAGAAATAAAACTATTTTAATAGAAAAATTAATTTACAAAAAATATGGCTGTCAAAACTCAGCTGCTATAGTGACATCAATTTTTGAGACACACACACGTCACAGCGACTTTTAAAAGTTCGAAGATGAATTGTAGGAAAATTGGCAAAGTTTGGCAGTCATAGCTTGAACGGTTTTGAAGTTTTTTAGCTTGTTAGTGTGAAGGAGAAGTAGTAGGAGGAGTAAGGGTTGGGGTTTAAAAGCCCTTACGGTCTGAATAGGGTTAAAAATAACAGCTCCGTGAAGAAGGGTAACCTGCCTCACAGCTCTGCATTTAAATTGAACTTTTGAATGAGTCAATAGAAGAAAACAACGAAAAAGGAGATGATGTTTCTTCATTCCAAAAATATGAAAACACTAGGATGATTAGCGGTTAACTTAACTCTCGGACGTACAACAAGGCGGGGGGAGGGGGGGTGGCTGTCCCCCTCCCCCGTAAGGTTTTTATGTTTTTTTTCTCCTACACGATAAAACATCAGCACATCGCGCACATTTTGAGACAAGTTTAGTGATGATCAGTTACTATGGTTACGAGATGACGAGATGACGTCATAAGTAGCAGGTGGTCAGGCCACGTTTGAGTGAAAATGCATGTTTTTTCAACTTTTTTCACAATAAAAGTAAAACTTGTGGATAAAATGATGCAAAGTAATAATTTATATGGGTGTGTTATCTTACATGTTAAGCGCAAAAAATTATCAATTATCACTGTTTTTATCTGATTTCTAAAGATGGCGACCGTGTTTGGTGACGTCACAGCCATCACCTCCCCCACCCCCCCCCCCCCCCCCCCCCCCCCCCCCCCTCCCCCCC